TAGCCACGATTTGATAATGACAAAATCGTTATCACTCTGTGAATTACATCAGACGTTTGTTCCCCTTCTTATTTTTCGCCTGTTTTTCCTTCAAGTATGAATAGCAAGTACATTGTACAATTAAAGATTTGATAACAATACACTTGTTAATATTATCTTTGTAAAGAACCACAAAAGATGCTTTTAATGTCCTATTTGCATATATATATTTTCCAATGTCATATTATGCAGCGAAAGAACCATCACTTGACAAAACACTATACCAGTACAAGTATCTTTGGATTTTCAGAACTTAAAAAAAAAATGTCCAGTCAGCAGCTTTCTGCAGCATTACAAGCACTCACAAATACTGGATCTTTCTCGAAACCAGTCAGAATATTCAATTCTGTAATTCTATGCCTCCCTGGTGTACAGAAAGAGGAGGAATTTTAGCCCAACTGTGAGCCTTTTCAATGATATCTCTGATGAATGTTATTTTGACCTATGGGGTCAAAAGAATCACATGCATCGAAACCTTATACATGAATTCATACATTAAAGGAATCAGACGCATGGAAACCTATACATGAATTCATAGTTCATACATTAAAGGAATCACACGCATGGAAACCTATACTTGAATTCAAACATTGAAGGAATCACATGCATGGAAACCTTATACATGAATTCATACATTAAAGGAATCACATGCATGGAACCTTATACATGAATTCATACATTAAAGGGCTGCGCTGTTTGTAATGCATCATACATGGGTAGGAGAATGCTTCCCTGAAACTAAATTTCAAGGGCGGCAAAGAAATACTGCAACTTCTGTAAGAGCATATATATTTGCATTGTACATGTACATTTATGCTGCACGCTTGTGGGAAAATTTCTGTGTGAATCATCGAAACTAATCTGGCATTTTTGCAAGATGGCAGTAATTCCAGAGAGTGCATTAAAGTTAGCATGGATCTAAATATGAGTGGGTGGATACTGGATAGAGGGAATGAAATTTTGCAAGTGAGCCTTGAACCTGTGACCCATCAATCGACCCACTGGGTCTCATCATATCATCTCCTGCAATCATTTCTGAACTAGACACTTGGGAGGAAATCTGTCACTTGCCAACGGGGCAAAATTTAAAGGCATATCACAGCTGCAGTAGGCATACAAATCTAATCATCTACAATGTACATGTAGCTTTTAATAGTGAATATACGCATGGACCTATAATCTCAATCCGCTGGCTTTGGGGGCAATAGATCTTCCATACATCCTAATGTATAGACGTACTTGACATGATTTTTATAATACCAGTATAAATAAATTGAATTGAATTGAAATTGATGATCAACCAACAACAAGGCAAAGGCATGCATGTACAATATACATGTACCTGTAGAATTGCACAATCTGAAAAATGCATTTTTGAGGTTTAATTGCCAATTAACTCTGGAAGTGGAAAGTTTTGAAAAGAGCTCTAGACTGGTATCGGTAAAAGGAAACGGAAAGGGACATAGCATTGCAATGTGGAAATTCCACTTTTAGCGAAGAAAAAGATGGAACGAATTGAACCAAGGGTAATCCAGTGTTTATCCACACTGTAAAATACAGGCCATGCAATTTCCCTTATTCCCCATAAAGCACAATTGGATTTTACTATCACTTGTTATCAGGCGCGTACGCAGGATTTTTTCAAGGGGGGGGTTTTAACATTTATAAATCGGTCCGAAAATTTCGCAACGACTCAGCCAGCCGCTGAATAAGCGGGGGGGGGGGGGGGGGGGGGGGGGGGGGGGGGGGGGGGGGTGGTAAGAGGACACTTTTTTTTTTTTTTTTGGTCTCGAAATTTGGAAATTTGACATTTTGCTCCGTTGGGGGGGGGGGTAAGGTCACCTTTTTTAGGTCGGCCATGGGAATAATTTTTTTTAATAATAAAAAAAAAAAAAAAAAAAAAAAAAAAAAAAAAAAAATCCAAAAGGGGGGGGGTTTTAGGTTTTTTTAGGGGGGTTTACACACAAAAAATTTCCAAAGGGGGGGGGGGGGGGGGTTTAACCCCCCAAACCCCCCCCCCCCTGCGTACGCGCCTGCTTGTTATTGTAAATTGTATGACTGAACAAACAAAACCTGGTATAATTTTCAGGACCAAAGCTTACTTTGATCACTTTCTTTTCAAGGACTTCACAATTACATATATTTATCATGATATCTTTTTAAATCTCTTTCTTCCACTTCAGCCTTGCTTGATATCAAGGTACCTGCCCCATTGAGACTCCTATCGTAATACTACGACAATGAGCCAGGTTCAGCTTTTTTTTTAGGGTCACTCGTCTAAAGGGCTAAAGACTAATATAATAGCATGAATCTCTAGTACTGTAGGTTTGTAAGAAGCTGACAAAACAGCTTACAAAACAGTCTAGGTAACACAATGCTTAGTAGGAACTGCATGCTTACATGGTACGACTGTCTGACCTTTAACCCCAGCTCTAACATGTGCATATAATACTGGTGAACCTATTTATTTTAAGAAACTGTGGAAATGAACTTAAGAGTTGTAATTAAGTTGAGAAAATGTACAGGAGCCAGAGGCCTATATTTCAAAATTAGACCCATTGGCTATTTACTTTCTGAACAATTTAATGTTTTCTCTTGACAACTAAAAACTTGCCAGACATAGCAACAGCCAATGCATGCAAAGTGGATTTCACTTGCACCATACATCATAATTAACAGGTGAACTCATTAGTTGGCAACCATGAGCTCTAATGAGAAACATGTATAAATTGATATACATGTACAATAAAGTACCAGGTCTACACATGTGGATGTATTATAAAAGCCTGGAGAAAAGTAAGGAAAATACAAGGGCAGACTAGCATGCTTGGAAAGCATGGTTTCTGACCTCTTGGGCTGAGGTCAAGTAGGTCAACCAGGGCAGGGAAGCCTGTAATAAAGCTCCCTGGAGTTTACAGTCTCCTGTTCAAATAACCGGAAATGTATATACAGTAGGTCCATGCCCTGTATCTATGGAGTATGGACACGTGTTCAATAGTTGTAGCATGTTTGGATGAATTAGTTTTGATAAATCCACAATCTAGGATTATACATGTACACTCACACTGCTTTGAAAAATCACCCAGTTCATGATAGATACAAATGTACATCTTAATGTTATGTTTAATCTATATCTACTACAAATATTATTTCCAGGGCACAAATGTATATTCACCAATCCAGGCAACAAATTGTTGTATTTCAGTAATTTCACAGCAATGCATATAGCATTTTGAGCCTTGGTATCTCAAGTGTTATTACTTTTTTACACCGAGCAAAAACAAAAAACAAAAAACAAAAAAACAGAAAAATTATGAACTTCAAAAACATTCAACCACTAAAAAACCAAATATGGTAGGCAATTTTTACTCAAAAGCTATAGGAAAAGTTTAAAACTTTTAAACATGGGAACAAAGTGTGAGAGAATTTAAATATCCATTACACAAGTAATAACCTACATCATTCAGTTAGTGTGTAGGAGGTCAGCTACCAGATTGAGAATTTGATTTGTTAGGGTGGAAGCAGTCAGCAGGAAACCTTCACGCCCACAGCCACCCGGCCGGGATTGTATATTTTTAGCAGTCATTCCTTTTGTTCATGAATCATACACGAAACTCCAGTGCACATTGTATTGACAGCATTTGTGAGCTTTACGAGCCTTCTTCTTTCTTACAATAGGGATTCAGGGAGAATGCAAACATTGCACTCAAACTCTGTCACCATTATCCCCCATAATATGAAATAAAATGATTCATACACCATGTAGTTATAAAAGATCAGTAAAATAAACATCCCTTTACAAACAGAGTAATGACTCATCTCGTTCATGAAACTTTTAAGTTCAAGGTAACCGTATGACTACGTCATGAATTTGACCTGTGAAATTCGACCGACATGTTGTCTGCGACCCTGCCTACAACATAAGCCCGGAAGTAAGCGTTCTTTACCCTGTTGAACCCCTCAACTCGAAAAGTTTAGAAGTGGAAGCAGGGTGCCTCATCGAATTAGTCCTACAGAAGGCCAGTGGATACTGAAGGAAACGTGAGAATGATTCATAGCACTTCATAGTTATAGGGGAATGCTCCCCTTACCCAAAGCCAATGTCAAAATGATGTTTGTGTCCGCTAGCTGACAGCCAGCTGGGGGCTATGTGCCAAGTATGCAGAGATATATTTTGTTTCAGAGGTTAAGGAGGGGGGGGGGGTGGGGGAACAGCATGAAAATACAAGAACAGTCAGCATCATGTTATGGATGTGACACATAAACTACATGTAGTATAGCACAACTACAGGGATGTACCCACTGCATAAATCAACTTTATCACACTGGTGTGATGAAATAGCTGGCATTGGGTAAACATTCTTACAAGGTGAATAAAGTTCATCCTGCCAATCATTTATACTTTTTTTTATAGAGATTTAAAAAGTTTACCACAAAACTGTTTTACCCTGTGACATAGAGCAGGATAGAGTTTTAGACACAGATTTATTGCACAATATAAAGCACATATGTTGCTTGCCAATGATTTTTGTAATAAGTTACTTGTACAAATTTCTATGTGCATGAAAAAGTTTTATAGCTGCTTTCATATTTGGAAGACTTTCTTTATGATACAACCCAATGCTTTTGTACATTTGTACATGCACACTTTACAACTAACCATAAACATTTTTGGAAGAAAAACAAGAGAGTCAATATATTTCAATACATGTAGGCCTACATTATTTTCACTTCCAAATATGTGATATCATCTCTTTGAAGTCATTCTTGAAGTCGATACCCAGAAAATATTCAAAACATTTTGTTCTTCCTATACTATGTCAATTCTATTTCATCAATATGTAGCCATTGAAATTTTCTGCAATCAAGTTGTATTTAATTGTAGAATTGACGTCCCCACTCTCTAGTAGCAGACTAGTACACAACAAATTTGAAGACTGAAGAGGTATACCATCTTTCATTCATTCCCAAAGCTCCAGGTCTTTGGATTTCTGGCAGGTGCTCTCGCTCTCATCAGCATACCTCAGGCAAACATACTGCTGCTCTGGAGTCAGGTCATGGACCACAAAGAAATAGAGGTAGTTGCACATGGTCCACTTGGTACTGAAGAGAGCAAAGCGAGGCGTGTCCCTAAGACCGACTCCCAAGTCCTCCGCAAGGACCCCCATGTAGGCATCCTCGACCGGAAATGGGTGATGGAACAACGTCCGTCTGGCGACCCGTTGGACCACATCGGAGGAGAGTAGGTACCCTATTCCGCTGGCATACGGTGGGTAAGAATCTCTTGGGTAGTCCTTCCAGGAAACGTACCACTTGCTGTCAGGATCTCGCACCACCTCCTGACTCCTCATCTTGTGGCCGACGTACAAGTTTGTCGTTTGATGATTATACCTCATGAGAAACTCCACCAGAATTTTAGTGTTGACAAAGCAATCGTCATCTGTCTTCAGAACAAACTGGGATTGGCAAGACTCGGCTGCCCACGTAATCCCATGCTGGACTTTATAAGTGAGGTTCCGATAACTATCAACATAATCTCCTATCAGGATATCCTTGTGCTTTTCACTTTCTGCTTCAATCTGTTCATTCAACATAGGAGAGGTTTTGCCTATTAAAAACACAGTCTTGAAATGTGTTGTATTCAAGACTTTAGGGTCTCTGTATCGTGCCCATGTGTTTCTTATGGCTGTTCTCCTTTTGATGTTTTCAGGTGCTGATGTGACGATTAACAGGAGAAGAGGATTAACCGAGCAATCTGGGCCTGGGCTAAAAACATCCACATATTGTTTCACATCCCATTCGGGTTTCATAAACTGCTCAGCTGCATCTGTGCCTTGTTCCCACTGAAGTTTGTGTCGACCAATCACCGCCACTCTATCATCCAATGTTGGTAACGTTCTTGAGATCCCATGACCGTTGTCGAGGTCGATGCTCATCCGGAACCGGTCGTCCTGGAAGATTTCAGTGTCTATGACGGCAAGTAGGAGCAGGAGGGATATGCTAAAGCCGGTAGCGACCAAAACCGAAGTTGTCCCAAGAAGCTTCATGAATAATATTCTCAGGATTCGCAAGAGAATTGGTGACATGTTCAAATGGATAGGCATTTTGTCCAAATCTTGTGAATGGCAAGTCACTCACTGTTGTTCCATTCTTTCATTAAAGAATCATATTGAGAAGCGATTTGATCCACATGGATAATTAAATAATAATATTGTTCCAACAAACAGCACTGAGTCTGAGAACTCTAGATCCAATCATTTAGTTCAAAAAAGTTTTCAACAAATTCAGTCAGAGTTGCTGGGCATCAGCTTGAAAACGGCTCCATGTAACGTGGCAGTAAAAATGTACTAATGCTGGACTCAGCATTCTTCAGGGAATCAATCCTCTGCGATTTACCCAGTGCTATCATTCCCCAGTTCGCCGGGCTCACTATGCCTGGCCTTGTCCCCTGTACGATGCACCATCAGGCGATTGGCTGGAACTGCCAGTGCATCTATGCATAGATCTACCACTCACTAGGCCTACACTTTGTTTACTTTTTGACCAGCAAAATAAGCACGATATCTGACTCCGAGTCTGAGACGGAGAATGCGAACTGGTTGTTGGCTGGGAAACAGGGAATTTCGTTCTCTCCTTATCCCTTTTCGCTACGCAAAAAAAAATATTATCCACAAAATCTCTTTACAGATCACGAGGAGAATAGTCCGTCACGTTCTAAAGGAAAAACAAAACATGCGTAGCTTCTATATGAATGAGTGAAAACATATATAGTTGGCGAGGAGAATGCGGTCGGTAGTATTCATGATGTAAATTCGACACAACTTCGCTTTCCCTGATTGGCCATGCGGAGAGGCTTGGCAGGGGACAATGTTGGGTCGACAAACTTTCCCGCAAAAATGTGCTGCTAGTCTAAGTCGTAAACCCTAGTGCAACGTGGTCGTAAGATTTATACCATTCTTTCTACGATTTCTAAGCCTTTCTTGAAATAAAGAAAAAAATGGTGATGTCACTACATGAGTATGTAGTGAAGAAATGTGTATTTCTTATATAGTTTGAAGAGTCTTATTATGAGACTACCAGTGTCTTAATATGCCTACCAGCATATCTTGGGGGCTATTGTTTACTTTAAGATTATACTACTAGTCACAGAGACAGGAAGTTCTTTGTTCTTCTCCACCTATGTTCTGGGAGAAGCAAAGCCCAGTCATTCTGAATGTCGAAGTGATGCAGTAAGGTCTGAGTTACATAACATTGCAGCAGAAAGTTTTTAGTTATTTTGTGGAACAAACTACAGGCCCAATTCGGTAAGAATACGATATCTATTTCTATATATGTTATTTGATATATACTAGAATGCTAGGATGTATCTTAATATAATCTCAGTTGAGTTTGGTAGAATTTTATAGGAGTTTCGTAAAGATGATGTTAGATGTTGTACCTAGCTTTTAGGAGTAGACAAAGAGATGAGTGTGTATAATGTATAGTGTAGAAAGCCGAGTTCTTTGTCTTTGTCAGAAGAAGTTACAGTACATTTTAGTGTTTCAAAGTAGCATATATTCTGCTACTATGTAGATGATAACTTGTTTGTTATATATTGTTTGTTATATATATAGTTCATGTCGAATTTAGAGCAAAACTAAGTGTTTATAGGAAAGAAACAATTTTCTTTGTTAGTTATTTAGCATAGGAACTTAAGTGACGAACCGCGTCTGAATGCGGCCCCGTTCACACTCATGTACCTTTGCTTGTGTGTACTGTTTAATAGTTTACTGCATAGTTTCAATGCAGGGTGTGTTCACATAGATATTTAATCCAGTTTAACTTTAATCTTGTGTCATATATTAATGTGTTGTAATCAGTATCTTTAATTTAGCTATAGGGTTTTTATATGCTTACATGCTGAAACATTTATTCATTATTTGTTTGTTTGTTTATTATCATTACAGATTGTTATCTGAAGGTTTACCGGAGATAGTAATTAACCTGAAGGTTTTACCGAAGATATGAAAGTGAAGTTACGAGTTGCTGAATAAAACAGAAGTTGGTTGGACTTTAGCAAATTGTTTCCAGTGTTACTTTTCATCGGTGTGCCTTGTGAATAACAACAGTTGGATTTATTGTTAGACGAAACTCCTTCATATAAAGATTTATGAAGGCAGCCACAATAACAATCGAAGTCTGTTATTCGAAGTCGAATAACAAGTGAAGTTCCACATACAAATGAAGTTTGAATAACGATTGAAGGCTGTTATTCGAAGTCGAATAACAATCAAACAGCAATAAGACTTTTTGCAGCCGTTTAATGAACTTGTAAGCAGACCAAGGTTTATAAAGGCCTGAAGTCATGCCTTTATCAGAGCCTGCATTGCGACGTGAAGCGACAATAGAGAGGACTTCCAGATCGAAGGCTAGGAGTCTAGCAGGTGTTAAGTTCATCAAGAGCGATGTGGAAGCAGAACAATGTGATGCAGTCATCACGAAGGCTACAAGTGTAGCAAGCTCACGGAAGTCTCGTGAGAGTGTGAGGTTGACAGAAGCCTTTCAAGCAGAACTAGCTGTCATGGACCAGGAGGACAGGCTTGATGCTCTAAAGGCTGAGCGCGAGCATGCTATATATATGAGAGCAGTCCAGAAGGAGGAACGGAAGTTACGAAAAGTGAAGCTGAGAAAGGAGACGGCTGCTAGAATAGCGGAGTTGGAAGGAGATGAAGAGAGTGATGGCTCTGAAGCCGCCATCGAACATATTACCTTGCCAAAGGAACAGCCAGGGGATTCCGTCCACAGATTCTTCAAATCTCAGCAAGACGTGACAATTGGCACAGCAACTCCTCCTCTTGACGGCACCTCTAGCCAGACAGGGTTTGAAAAGATGGCAGAGTCGATGACTGATATGGCAAAGGCCATCATGCAACAGAATATGACGACACAGAGACTTGCTGTTGCTAGTCAACTTCCAAAGTTAGAGATTCCTATATTCAGTGGCGATCCTTTACGGTACAGGCTTTGGAAAAATGCCTTCTCAAACTTGGTGGACTCCAAACCCCTCGACGGAGCTACCAAGCTGAGCTATTTGAATAGCTACGTAGCAGGAGAACCAAGGAAGGTCGTAGAGCACTACATCCTGCTGGGCACAGACGAGGCATATTTCCAAGCCACAGAACTGTTACAAAAAAGATACGGCAGTGGCAGTATTATCAGTACAGCATTTTCGAAGAAGCTGAGCAGCTGGCCACGTATCTTCGACAAGGATCCTGGAGGACTCCGTCAATTCTCAGACTTTCTAGAGCAGGTGGTATCGGCTAAGTCAACGGAGTCATCCTTGGGGATATTGGACTATCCTCAAGAAAACATAAAGATGTTGAACAAACTGCCCCTACATCTAGAAAGGTCATGGCGGGATGAGGTAAATAAATGGCAGACAAGGGGTCTTGGGAACTACCCTCCATTTGAAGTCTTTGCCGAGTTTGTCAGCAGAGCCGCCAACAAGGCCAACATCCCTGAGCTAGAGGGTCTGCGAAGTGGTGAGGCACGACCAAGGCGGTACGAAGGGGACCGCAGCAATCGCAACCAGCCGAGAGGGAAGACCTTTGCAACAAATGTATCTTCAAAGACAAACGTGGGAGAGTATTCCTCATGTCCGTACTGTGGGAGAGAGCATCACTTGGATGACTGTCACGAATTTACAAAGAAATTGTTACATGAAAGGAAGGGTTTCTTCTTTCAAAAGAACTTGTGTATGGGTTGCGGCGTTGCTGACAGTCACCAGGTCAAGGACTGCACTCAGAGGAAGGTTTGCAAGATTTGTGAAGGGCGCCACCTTGCCTGTCTGCATAGACCAAGGAATAACCAGAGAAGGCCACACGAGGAAGGCTCATCCAAGTGCACCAACGTATGCTCTCTTCCAGATCAAGATGGCCAGGAGCACTGCATGATCGTGCCAGTCTGGGTGAGATGCAAGGACGAGCCTTCCCGGGAGTTCCTCCATTACGCCATCCTAGATGATCAGAGTAATGTAGGCTTCGTTTCGGACGAACTGTGTGAACAGTTAGGAGTACAGGGAACTAGTACCACCCTCCGACTCACCACCATGCACGCAACGGCCAATGTCAAGAGCATGAAGGTGAACGGTTTGCAGGTGCTCGACTTCAATAGGGAGAATGAGATCGACCTACCCCCGTGCTTCTCTAGAGATTCTGTTCCTGCTAGCAGATCCCAGATCCCCAAGATTGAAGTCCTGAAGGAGTGGCCTCATCTTGAGCCAGTTGCTCATGAGTTGATGCCATACAACAGAAGCGTCAAGGTATCGCTCTTAATTGGAAATAACTGTTCCCGAGCCATCCGCCCTCGAGAGGTGATAGCAGGAGGAGAAGATGACCCGTATGCCATGAAGACAGCACTTGGATGGGGAGTAGTTGGCAAGGTATGCCAGACGTCAGTACAGGATGATGGAGTCCTGATCTGCAATAGGATATCTGCAATTGAGAGGCATCCAAAGTTTGCCTATGCGAGTAAGGCCAAGGAGATCCTGGACACTGAGAAAATCATACAGATTCTGGAACAGGACTTCAAGGACTCGGGTGCTAATGGTGAGCCTTACTCCGTGGAGGAGACGAGATTCATGGAGATCCTGGAGAGTGGTATCCGCAGACGTGACGACGGCCACTATGAGATGCCGCTACCTCTGAAGTCTGCAAAGCCAAATCTTCCCTTTAACAAGCCACTTGCTATGAAGAGATGGAAGCAGCTGTCTGGAAGGTTGCGGAAGAACCCCAAATTTTGTGAAGACTACAGAGCATTCATGGATGACGTCATCCAGAATTATGCAGAGAGAGTGCCAGCTGACCGTCTTCAGATACAGGATCGGGTTAATTACATTCCTCATACTGGCGTGTATCACCCTAGAAAGCCCAACAAGATCAGAGTGGTCTTTGATTGCTCTGCTACTTATCAAGGTGTGTCCCTTAATGACATGCTACTTCAAGGTCCAAACACCATGAACAGCCTCCTGGGAGTGCTTTGCAGGTTCCGTAAGGAAGCAGTAGCTGTAGCCGCTGATGTGAAAAGTATGTTCCATCAGTTCTACGCAGCAGCAGAAGACAGAGACCTGTTGAGATTCCTGTGGTGGGAAGATGGAAACCCCGAGAATGCTGTTGTGGAATACCGCATGAAGGTACACTTGTTTGGTGCAGCTAGTTCACCAGGAGTAGCTACGTTCGGTTTGAGAAGAGCTGCAGATGACGGAGAAGAAGAATATGGAGCGCCAGCAGCTAACTACATCAGGACAGATTTCTATGTTGATGACGGCTTGAGATCCGAGCCAGATGTTGCATCGGCGATCCAGCTTCTCAAGAACAGTCAGGCGATCTGTGCAAAAGCAGGTCTAACACTGCATAAGATTGTATCCAATGAAAGGGAAGTGCAAGAGAGTTTCACCAAGAAGGAAGGGCTTACGGACAAAAAGGAGCTTGGGTTAGCTCGAAGTCCATCGACTCTAGAACGAGTTCTCGGAGTCGTTTGGTGCATCAAGAATGACGTCTTCAACTTCAAGATAGAGCTCAAGGAACGGCCTTTCACCAGACGAGGAGTTCTCTCAACAGTGAGTTCATTCTACGATCCTTGTGGCTTCCTTAGCCCCGTTATGTTGAGAGGAAAGCAAATCCTGCAAGAGCTCTGCCGAAGCAAATTGGACTGGGACAGTCCAATACCAGAAGATCTCCGTCCACGCTGGGAAAGATGGCTGCAGGAGGTGCTTGAGTTGGAGAACCTCCAGATACCCAGATGTTACAAGCCACGTGCTTTTGGTGAAGTCAAGGCAGTGGAGCTTCACCACTTTTCGGATGCAAGCCAAGAGGGATATGGACAGTGTTCCTACATCCGACTTGTCAACACCCAAGACAAGGTCCACTGTTCCTTTGTTATCGGGAAGTCCCGAGTAACCCCGCTGAAGCAGGTCAGCATACCAAGGCTCGAGCTAACTGCAGCTACAGTATCAGCCAGAATGAGTGGATTTCTGAACCAGGAGCTCAAGTATGACAGCTTCAAGGAATTCTTCTGGACTGACAGCAAAGTAGTCCTGGGTTACATACAGAATGAAGCCAGAAGATTCCATGTCTATGTAGCCAACAGGATTCAGATGATCCGAGACCTGACAGATCCTGATATGTGGCGCTACGTAGACACATCCGAGAATCCAGCAGACGACGCTTCAAGAGGATTATCTGCTAAGCAGCTTACCCAAGACAGCCGTTGGCTGAGAGGACCAGAATTTCTCTGGACGGATGGTATATTTGAAGTCAACCCTACAAGGCCGCCCGTCCAGCTGGAAGAAAGCGATCCAGAGTTAAAGCGTGCTACTGCCCTTAAAACAGGAGCAAGAGATGAGACGGAAAGTCACTTCGAAACTAGCCGTCTGGATAGCTTTTCCAACTGGCACAGGGCAAAGAAGGCAGTAGCCAGATGTATTCAACTCAAAGGCAAGCTGCAGAGCAAGGCTGTGAAAATCTCGAGCTCATCTCCAGATGCTGAAAGGCCGTCCTTCAAGGAGTCGCTTTCTCTAGGCGAACTGCAGAGTGCTGAAAGGGTGATCCTTAAAAGTGTACAAGCAGAACATTTCCTGGAGGAAATGCAGGCTCTGAGGAATCTGGAAGCTACAGGAGAGGTCACTGATAGACAAGCGACCAGGGCCAGGAATGCTGAACTCAAGAAGACGAGCTGTCTCTATAGACTTGATCCTTTTCTCGACGAATATGGAATTATCAGAGTTGGTGGCCGTATAGACAGGGCAAATATTTCCAGAGAGATCAGACACCCAATCATCCTGCCCCGAAAATGCCATGTCACCAGACTGCTGATCGATGATTGCCACAGTAGAGTCAATCACATGGGCCGTGGCTTAACCCACAACGAGCTTCGCCAAAGAGGTTACTGGGTGATAGGAGGTTCCTCTGCAGTTTCACAGTTCATCTCACAGTGTGTAACATGCAGAAAACTACGAGGGCCTCTCGTGCAGCAGAAGATGTCGGAGCTACCGAGGGAGAGAGTTGAACCTTCTGCCCCCTTTACCTACTGTGCAGTCGACTACTTCGGTCCATTCCTTTTAAAAGAAAAGAGAAGCGAGGTGAAGAGGTATGGTGTCCTTTTCACATGTATGTCTTCCAGAAGCATCCATCTTGAGACTGCGAACAGCCTTTCCAGCTCTTCCTTCATCAATGCCTTGAGGAGGTTCATGAATCGAAGAGGAACTGTTCGACAGCTCCGTTCAGATCAAGGCACAACATTCATTGGGGCCAGAAACGAGTTGAAACAAGCTCTACAAGAAATGGACCAGAAGCATGTGCAAGAATACCTTCTAGAGAATGGTGTTGAGTGGATACCATTCAAATTCAACGTTCCACATTCCTCGCACATGGGCGGTGTCTGGGAGAGGCAGATTCAGACGGTGAGAAGGGCCTTGGACACCTTACTTGCTAAGGCAGGCAGCCAGCTTGACGACGAATCTTTTCGAACTTTTATGACAGAGGCAGAATGTATCGTCAACTCTCGACCTCTCACCACCAATAACCTGAGTGACGCCGAAGCACCAGAACCTCTGTGCCCACTCCATCTTCTGACAATGAAGCCGAAAGTAATCTTACCACCACCTGGAAACTTCCAGGGCGAAGACAAGTACTCTAGAAAGTGGTGGCGACGTGTGCAGTATCTAGCCAATGAATTCTGGCTACGCTGGCGCCGAGAGTACCTCCAGCAGTTACAGCCCCGCCAGAAGTGGACGCGAACGCAGAGAGACTTGGCCATCGGCGATGTAGTCATCGCGAAGGAGACTGAAGATGTTCGCCTCCAGTGGCCTCTGGCAAGGGTAGCAGAAGTTTTTCCTAGTCAAGACGGACGCGTTAGAAAGGTAAAGCTCCTCATGGCTGATGGAGCTCTGGACAGTAATGGTAAACGTCTGAAGAAACCTTGTTACCTTGATAGACCCGTCCACAAACTCGTGTTATTACTGCCGGTAGAGTCTTAGGAATAATTAGTTCTGTTGTTAATAACAGAGATGTAAAACTAATCGTGACCTGTCTTTTTCTTTCCATTTCTCTTTCTTTCTCAATCACTTTCTCACTTTCTCATTCATTCCCTCTTTCTAGATTTCTACCTTTATCTGAGTTTCATGACTTTTACGTTTCTTGTTGTCTTATCTTATATTTGCAAACAAGTTTTGTCATTATCACGCAGAAGACAGTAGGGATTCCCCTCAAGGAGCCTTTATCTTATTGTTGTATAATATGTTCCTGATGTCAGGAGTGTCTTCATTTAATGTTTTTACTAATTTACAATACATATGATTATGTATTCATGTGGTTATCAACGGAAGGGGTTGATTAAGTATACTTGATATACATCTAAGTTTAACTTTGTGTATTACACTAATTGGGATTGTTTACCAATCAAGCAGTATTTGGAGCATTGATGGGTAAAGTTGATTTCTCTTGTTACATGAAAGATCGTTAGAGGTTAATGATGTTCCTTGGTAGTAATAGTAGTGCAGTATGTCTATCTATGTTGTAGCGTAGTCTTAAATTTGGATATTAACAGTTATTTTAGTAAATGTTACTAACATTTAAAGGAGCCATGTCACTACATGAGTATGTAGTGAAGAAATGTGTATTTCTTATATAGTTTGAAGAGTCTTATTATGAGACTACCAGTGTCTTAATATGCCTACCAGCATATCTTGGGGGCTATTGTTTACTTTAAGATTATACTACTAGTCACAGAGACAGGAAGTTCTTTGTTCTTCTCCACCTATGTTCTGGGAGAAGCAAAGCCCAGTCATTCTGAATGTCGAAGTGATGCAGTAAGGTCTGAGTTACATAACATTGCAGCAGAAAGTTTTTAGTTATTTTGTGGAACAAACTACAGGCCCAATTCGGTAAGAATACGATATCTATTTCTATATATGTTATTTGATATATACTAGAATGCTAGGATGTATCTTAATATAATCTCAGTTGAGTTTGGTAGAATTTTATAGGAGTTTCGTAAAGATGATGTTAGATGTTGTACCTAGCTTTTAGGAGTAGACAAAGAGATGAGTGTGTATAATGTATAGTGTAGAAAGCCGAGTTCTTTGTCTTTGTCAGAAGAAGTTACAGTACATTTTAGTGTTTCAAAGTAGCATATATTCTGCTACTATGTAGATGATAACTTGTTTGTTATATATTGTTTGTTATATATATAGTTCATGTCGAATTTAGAGCAAAACTAAGTGTTTATAGGAAAGAAACAATTTTCTTTGTTAGTTATTTAGCATAGGAACTTAAGTGACGAACCGCGTCTGAATGCGGCCCCGTTCACACTCATGTACCTTTGCTTGTGTGTACTGTTTAATAGTTTACTGCATAGTTTCAATGCAGGGTGTGTTCACATAGATATTTAATCCAGTTTAACTTTAATCTTGTGTCATATATTAATGTGTTGTAATCAGTATCTTTAATTTAGCTATAGGGTTTTTATATGCTTACATGCTGAAACATTTATTCATTATTTGTTTGTTTGTTTATTATCATTACAGATTGTTATCTGAAGGTTTACCGGAGATAGTAATTAACCTGAAGGTTTTACCGAAGATATGAAAGTGAAGTTACGAGTTGCTGAATAAAACAGAAGTTGGTTGGACTTTAGCAAATTGTTTCCAGTGTTACTTTTCATCGGTGTGCCTTGTGAATAACAACAGTTGGATTTATTGTTAGACGAAACTCCTTCATATAAAGATTTATGAAGGCAGCCACAGGTGACAATATGTAAAAAAAGAACGCAATTATTTGATTGTCAAGAAAGATATTTTTCTAAAAAACTCCAATAAAACACCCTATCTGTAATATGATTATGCTTTCAGCATATTATTCAATGTAAAACATAATAACCAACGTTAATTCTAAGAAAAAGGGGATGCAATGGTATATTTTAACATCATGCTTTCAATGGGTATAATCTGAATGACATTCTTGTCCTAAAATATTGCTAATTTATGCTGTATCAGCGGGTGCCAATATTACGATAATCGAAAGGCTGGACGTTTCAAGGATACCATACTCCAAGTATGAACACTCAGTACATTAAAAATATAATAACAATCATAATGTAATAAGAAAATAAAATAAGAACAGTAAAACATAATACGATATTATAAATATGTTAAATTACACTCAGTACATTAAAAATATAATAACATAATGTATTAAGAAAATAAAATAAGAAAAAGTAACAACAATGATAAAAGGTATGATAAGATTACTGAATATAGAAGCTTGTGTAGGTGCTATCTTATATACATATTTATGTATGGTGTGTATGTGATATAACAAATAATCTGCACGTACTGTTAAGAAACACTAACAAAGCCCATGAATGTTTTGCTTACGATATTATTTTACGATACTATCTTAAAAGATAGATAAATATAAAACAAAATAAATGTATTTTTAAAAAAATCCAAAATTGAGAGATATAACACGTGCCGTAAAGTAATTTGGCGACAATAGTCAAATCACTGACTAATCGCCAATAACTCAAAACACAACAACAACATGAACAAGGTATCCAAGGTGAACAAACTTTTCATTACGTAGCTTACAAAAGCAGACCATGATTTATTTGTTGCAAATTTATTTGAAGAATAACGGGAAAGAAAACAAACAAGTACCTTTGATGGATATCATACTTAATATTTTCTTTCGATTTGGAATAAACCAATACAATTCAAGAAATAAATTCTAATTAATGAATACTAAATCAGTGAGTGATTTTGTGATTTATGAAAATACAGTTTTGGAATTAGACTATCAAGAAACCGTACGCTAAGGATGTGAAAGTTTGTTGACTCCGATCCTCACATAAATTATGACGCTCTCTAATTCCCCATGTATGATGTATGGGGCAGTGTTTCCGGACAATTAAAGCCACCGCTTTTGCCTTTGGTTTGAACTAAATGGATGCACCAAATAGCACTAACCATCAGAAATATTCATTCTTATTATATTGACTATCATAATTCTTCAAAGCTTTATGGAACATTGCGTGTTACCTTTTTTTAAGTACCGTTATAAATCAACTGTTCGGACACATGCACACCGATAAAAACAATCATTCCTCTTGCATCATTGTCGTCTAGCCTCTAGACTAGGCAACAAAACAAAAAAAAAAAAAAAAAAATCTAATTTATTTATTGTACTTTGAAACGGTGACTATGTTCCATAGGAAGATTGGCATGTAGGCTTTGCATATGATTATAGTCTATTTGCCGACAAGATTAATGGTTACTGAATTAAAAATGCATAGGCCTACATCAGCCACTAACAGTATATCTTTTCAAAATGAACGAATTTTTGTTCACTTTTCGTCAAAATGTCATCAAACTGATTCCTTGATTTTTCGTTCACATCTCCACACACTACCACCCACATTTCTAACTTATCCTCATTAAACTGTGTTAACGAAGATAAATTTATCTTCATTTAACAGCTAAACGAAGATAAATTTATCTTCATTTAACAGCTAAACGAAGATAAATTTATCTTCATTTAACAGCTAAACGAAGATAAATTTATCTTCATTTAACAGCTAAACGAAGATAAATTTATCCTCATTTAACAGCTAAACGAAGATAAATTTATCTTCATTTCACAGCTAAACGAAGATAAATTTATCTTCATTTAACAGCTAAACAAAGATAAATTTATCTTCATTTAACAGCTAAACGAAGATAAATTTATCTTCATTTAACAGCTAAACGAAGATAAATTTATCTTCATTTAACAGCTAAACGAAGATAAATTTATCCTCATTTAACAGCTAAACGAAGATAAATTTATCTTCATTTAACAGCTAAACGAAGATAAATTTATCTTCATTTAACAGCTAAACGAAGATAAATTTATCTTCATTTAACAGCTAAACGAAGATAAATTTATCTTCATTTAACAGCTAAACGAAGATAAATTTATCCTCATTTAACAGCTAAACGAAGATAAATTTATCTTCATTTAACAGCTAAACGAAGATAAATTTATCTTCATTTAACAGCTAAACGAAGATAAATTTATCTTCATTTAACAGCTAAACGAAGATAAATTTATCCTCATTTAACAGCTAAACGAAGATAAATTTATCTTCATTTAACAGCTAAACGAAGATAAATTTATCTTCATTTAACAGCTAAACGAAGATAAATTTATCCTCATTTAACAGCTAAACGAAGATAAATTTATCGTCATTTAGCTGTTAAATGAAGATAAATTTAACCTCATTAAACTGTGTAAATGAAGCTACCGAAAAACGAAGGCGACCACGTACGGTGAACTCGTCTTCTTCTTCTTCGTCGTAGCCATTTCGAAGAAAATTCAAAACGCGTACGTTATAAAAGGAAAAATTAACAGATTATGGACAACGTAACCGCGAGTGACGATGTCGAATCGAAGAGTGATCTTAAATCTGGTGCTGGCCGCGCGTGTACCATAATATGTTGTTCGTGCCCAGACTTTGTATACTATTAGACAGAGCTCTAGCTGTTTACAAACAACGGACGCATTGCCCGCGCTCGGCTATTGTTCTCTTTGTTCTCTCTTTGGTTATAGCTAGTCTGCAGACACAGACCCTTGACAGCCATTATGAGTAAAAACAATGTCTAAATTTCAAACATGAAAGTACTGAGTTATGTCATGTAGCTGCTTCCGACACAGTGCAATACTGGAAAGAAACATAACACCTTAAGCAGAATCTGATAGTCCTGATTATTTCATGTGGTTTTATTCAAGAGTAAAGTTGAGTCTGTGTTTACAGACTAGGTTTGAGATGGTGAATAGATAGAACTGATAATCCCCGTGCGACTGGCTAACGACGGTCTGGGGAGAATATGGGTGTATCATCTCTCTGGTGTATCTGTACATGGGGGTAAATGGGTGTATCATAATCGTAACATGCAGACCTTTTAACAATCTATCAGGGTGGTTACTTAATTTGCAAAAATTCACCTTTCAGAAAGAAAACGTGCATTTTTGCTAAAAATAGAAGGCAAGACACAGGACGGGGCTGCTGGGCTAAATAGGCCTATATAAATTATAATGTTTAATAATTATTATTAGGGAACCAGCTGTGTGCCCGGCCGCAAAATATATGAGCAATAATATCTTTAAAAATGCAAATACATATATTTCACTTTGACTATTAAGAGCATGAATCGGAGGGGAAGTTGAAAACAAACGATATTATAGTGCTTGAAAACTTGACTTTTCTGACTTTCGCTGAATATCCGTGTCTAAAATTTGTAAACTTGGCACACCGGCATACGGTCTGGATATGTAATTTCTTTCTTGTTCAAAATCCTAATCGATGTTTTGTGGATTTCATCGGGATGAGCCATTTTCTTTAGTCACAAACCCAAGCATGATTTGATCGATGCCCAATAGGAAGTGCAACTAAATCGTTCGGGCAACCATGCCTATATTTAATAGAAAGTATAAACCAAATCTGAGTATACCTCCCCCCCCCCCCCCTCCGGGTCCCCATCACGGAACCTCATGAGCATTTCTTAGGTCAATAGGCTGTATATATAATAGTGGAGGTACTATGGAAATTGGAATAACACCCGACGGGGGCTGATCAAAGATTTCCCAACAATAATAATTATGAATAAGACGCCCTGATATTTGAATGTCACGCAAATTCCAGGGATTAATTCCCTCCAATTTGCGCGAGCGGCCGCTTCCGAAGCAGAATTAAGTGACAATAATCATAAACAGTAATACTCCAGCTATCAGGGTGTGTACATCTACTAAATCGCCAGTGGCGGATCCGGGGGCCCGCCTCCCCCGTCCCCCCCCCCCCCCCCCGGGGAAAAAAAACGTGTAGGAACACGTTAATTTTACCTTTTTTGGGAGATGCCCCCCCTCCCCCTGTCGCTCAAGAGGGGTGCACATTTTCAAATTTTAGAGGGTCCCCCAACAAAATGTGCTCACCTTTATACATCATGCATGCCCAAGTAGGAGTCGTCGGGCTTGAGTTAGCCCGAATTATTATTTCCATTTACAGAGCCACCCCCTCCCCTCCAGCCCCCGATTATTATTATTTTTATTATTATCATAATCGTTAGTAGGGGTCTAGTAGTACTTGTCCGAGGGGCGGCGATCCGGGGGGGGGCACGTTCCCCCTCAATTTTCTTTTAGAGGGGGGGGGGGGTCGTTCCCGCCTGAAATTTTGAAAAAGTGCACACATGAAATGTATAGCAAATACTGACTAAAGACTGCAACACACTTTTAGGCTCTGGAGGGCCCAAGAATGCAGCGCTTAGACTCAATATTTGCTATTATAGCAAATAAGTCTAAACGCTGAATTCTGAGTCTAAACGCTGCATTCTTGGGCCCTCCAGAGCTTCTTGTGTGTACTTTTTCAAAATTGCCGGCGGGAGCGACCCCCCCCCCCGCCTCTAAAAGAAAATTGAGAGGGAACGCCCCCCCCCCGACCACCGCCCCTTTGGACTCCTACTACTATTAAAATACTACTACTAGACCCCTTCTAATGGTTATAATAATAATAACAATAATAATAATAATCGGGAATCCCTGGAATTTGCGTGATTTTCACATTTCAAGGCGTCTTATTCATAATTATTATTGTTGGGAAATCT